GAAGGTAACGGAGCAGGTGAGGCAGGCTGTCACTCCAACCGGAGTCAGAAGTGTCCTCACCCAGCAGGCACCAGGAGCTCTGGAAAAAGCCTCTCGGAGAAAGTCCTGGCCCCCAGAGCTGCCTGCTCCCTAGACTCTTCAGATGCTGAGCCCATGCCAGAGTGAGGAGGCCAGGAGGCTGGACCAATGCCTGATCACCCCAGCAAACACCCTGCTCCCCACCAGCTGTGGGGCCCAAAGGGCATTCCAGCCCCAACACCTGGTGCTGGCTCACCAGCTGACACCCAGGCCTAGTGCCTGCAGGGAGAGGTGGCAGCTCCTGCTACAGATGAGGAAACGGGCTCCGGGAAGCAAAATTATCCTGCCCAGACCAGGGACCGGAGTGTTCTCTCCTCTCTATGACCGGCCCGGCCGCCTGGTGACTCTCTCCCTCCGGGAGCCGGGAGGGTGCATGTGCTGTGGACGTACTTGCCAGTCAACACACCCAGGGGTCAGAGGAGGCTGAGTCACACCTCCTCAGCTGGAGACCAGGCTCTCCCGGGGGGGGGGGGGGGGGAGGGCGGGGGGGGGGGGCCTTGAAACCTCACGTATGGCTGGCAGCGTGCCTCCAATGGGGCCCTCTCAGGCAGAGAGCCAAGTGCTACCGGCCACTGCGGCTCAACGAGGTCAGGGCCAGGGGGTGCAGGAGCCAGGATTCCAAACCCACAGTGTGGCTCCAAGAGCACCTTGACTCCTCCTCTATGCCACCTCTCTGGTCCACCCAATGCCCAGCGCCACCTCCATCCAGAGCACCCCAGCACTCCGAGCTGGCACAGTGCCGCCCACCCCTTCCTCGCCACCCTGCCTCCTGCTTCTGTCTCACACCTCCACAGAGCCTGGGCCACTGAAACAACATGGCTCCGAGCAGATCCCTCAATAAATCAGGCCTGTCCTCACCCCAGACACCATCCAGCCTGCACAGCCTGGCCCTCTGGCCTCGGGCCATCTTGGGTCCAGCTGGCAGCTTGCAAACGAGTCCTGCATCAGGGCTGAGAAACTGATGTTCGTTAATAGGAAACCTTGGTACTTAATTGGTATTGATGTCCCCACACACACACCTCAGAGTTGATAGATGATGCTGTGCCTGCTGGCGTCAGGCAGGGAGAGGGCTGATTAACACAGCTGTGCCAGGGCCCTCATCTCGCCCATCCTTCCCCGGACTGCGTTTTAGCCCCGACTCTGGTTGCTATACAGGGGAGGGGTGTGGGGGGGGGTGACCTTATTTGCACAACCCAGTTCCTCTCTCTTCCTCTACCAAATCCTTCCTGCCTCTTCCCTGAAAACCATGGAACTGAAATCAGACAGACGGAGCTGAAGACCCAGTTGTTTCTGGCTAGCTCTGTGATCTTAGGTAGTTACATAATCTCTCTGAGCTCCAGTGTTTTCCTCTTCAAGCTCTAAAACAGATGAGACACAGGTTCTAGGACAAGCGCAAGGCCTGAAAGGTAGCAGGGCGTCCAGCACCGGTGCCCTGTGGACACCCCTCATTATGCTCATGTTCTCTCTCCTCCTCCCTGTCCGCCCTAATAATTCCCACTGCAGGACCTGGCTGCACGGCAGCTCCTCCAGGAAGGTCTTCTATGCTCTCCATGCTGGCTCGGGCCCTCCTCTGGACTCCCTCTCCGGTGCCTCCATCTTCCGTTACTGCAAAGAACCTGTCCGACTAAGCGCTCATACACGAATGTTACAGGCCCCTCCCTAAGAGGTTTGCACAAATAGGAAGGAGGAAGGGATGCAGAGTATAATCTCCCTCCAACTAATGGTTCCTTCGCAGGCTCCTCGCTGCCCCAGGCCCGGGCTGAGACCTGGCAGGGTGCTCCGGTCAGGTGGCTTCTCCCGGGCTCTGGGACAGCAGCCAGGGCTCACTCAGCCTCTCCTCCAGCCCCTGCTGCCTGCCCCAGGCCTGAGGACTCACAGCACTCTCCTAGCCAAAGCTCAGTAACTTCTCACTGAACATCGTCCATAGGTTCCGTGACTTTAAGCAAAATGACATCTAACAAAACCAGTTTTATTACAGGCTAATAGATATCAACTAGCGTGAAGTTCCCATGACATCTCCTCAATATTATAACTTGACGACATTGAACAAGTGACGTTATCCAGGCACCTGCTGTATTAAGGCCATCTGCTCTTCCAAGCATCTCATTAGCCCCCTGACGCAGACCCGGCCAAACCCAAGCCCAGCAGCAGTCCATCCATCTTCCTGCCAAACCCACAGCGAACATCGATTCCCAGCCCCGGGCCGGGCCCTGGGCGGCAGCTTTCCTGGCCATGGGCTCCCAGAGCAGCCTCTGGGTAGCCAGCCTCACACTGTGACCCTGGGGCTCTCTGACCTCATGTCCGATGGGGTCCCGCCCCTCCTGAAACCCGCCTGGTGAAAGCTCCTGTGCTCCAGCGGGCCTGGGAGCCCTGGGGGTCTCACTGCACCCCCTCCCGGCCTCCCTGGACCCCACCCACCTGGCTTCAGTGGCAGGAGCCCACTTATTGCTCCTGCCAGCACCTGCCTTGGCACAGGCTGTTGCTCCACCTTCAGGCCCTCCCCACCTTTTCCCAGAAAAGTGCATGTTGATTGCTTCCTTCTCTGGACTCCTGCTCGGATTGCCCGGGAAGGCCGGAGTGGCCTCTGCAGGTTCAGACTGCCTGCTCTCTCACAGCCCCTCCCACATCTTTTGTTCTTTTGGCTCCTGGAAGGGAGAGACCAGGTCAAACTCATGCCACCTGTGTCTTCCCCCAAAGGCCTAGCTCACGGCAGGCACTCCAATGTTTGGGGGCTAAAGGAGGGTCAGATCGTGTCTTTCTTTCCCTGGCATCTCTGACCTCGTGTATAAATATCTCTGTGTGCCACTCTGGGCCAGGCTGCACTGCCCTCCATTAATCAGGGTCTCTGGCTTCTTTATTCAGCTCCAGGGGCCAAAGAGACCTTCAGAAGTAGGCTGGTGGCTGTTAATTGAAGCTTTGTCTCACACCAAAAAGGGCACATACCCAGGTTAGGGGTTCCATCCCAGTGGGGGCATGTACGGGAGGCAACCAATTGATGTTTCTATCCCACATCAATGTTTCTCTCTCACTCTTTCTCCCCCTCCTTGCCTTCCTCTCTTTAAAAAATCAATTTAAATTTATTTATTTATTTTTTTAATGTAGGAGGCCTCAAAGTCCAGCCAGAGGCCTGGCTGCCTGAGAGTTGAGGAGAGACCAGGCCGCTGCGGAGGGTTTCCACGGAGCAACCCCTCCCCGGGGCCTGGGGTTTCATGCAGGTTCAGACTGGGAAGCTGTGGCTCTCTGGCTGGGAGAGCTCGTCTCCTGCCCATCCCAGATGGAGGCCGTCCCAGATGGAGGCCGTCCCAGTCGGTCGCCTGTCCGTGCCTCAGAGGTGACTGAGGAGCGGCAGCCCAGCAGGGAGGTTAGTTCCTCCCTTAACTGTGCAGGCACTCACCGTCACCAAGCATCGGGCTCTGTCGGATGCGCTGATGTTTTCCGGATGCTGCCTGGCGCTGGGAGAGCCAGCCCCAGGACCAGGCCTGGATACCAGCTCTGCCCAGTTTGCTACTTGGCTCCGGTCAAGCTGCCTCACCTTCTCGAGCCTCAGCTTTGGCTTCTGAGGATGGAGGCACTACTCCTTGCCTGCTCGGGCTGGAGGTGTGAGGCCACAGGGAGACCCGGGCTGTGCTGGGTGCTGCCCTCCAGGGCACACTCCGCTGCTGCGGCCTGCGGCAGAGTGGAAACCTCGGCAGAGACATGGGAGGAGGAGCACTGGACCCGGGTCAGGCCCCGGGGCCGGGCCACTGAAGCAGCTGCTCCCCCAGCTGGGTCTCTGCCTCCCTGGGAGGGGCGACTGCCACTCTGACCCCTGGGCCTGTGGCAGATGGCAGGTGGCAGGCAGTGACCAGGCCCAACAGCTGCCTGTGGTCAGGGAGGGGCCCTCCCAGGTGCCCCGCAGCCAGAAGGTGTGTGCTGGGGAGGCACGGAGGCCGCAAGGTCTCAGGCCCCAGCCCGAGCTGATCAAGCTTATTGGCGAGCGGTGAGGGAGGGAGGGAAGTGGTCGGCTCTGCAACCACTGAAACTGATTGATGGGTTAATGCGGAGGTTTCCACAGCCACAGGCTGTGCTGGGGAAGGAGAGGGGCCACAGGGCAGCCAGGGCTGCGAGGCCAGCTGGGACCCCAGTGTGGCAGTGTCTCCTGAGCAGGAGCACCGCCTGGCTAAGGCAGGAGCACGGGGTTTGGGTCAGGCGTGGGTCTAGGACCTGAAGCCCATGAGGCCCGAGGATCTGAAGCGCACTCTCCTAAGGAAGGGGACTGCGAGCCGGAGGTTAGGGTGTGGGGAGCTGTGGGGTGGGGAAGAGGGCTGATCCAGAACCAGAAAGAACAAAATAAACACACCTTGGAAACCATGGAAACTGAGAGCAGAGGCCTGGGAGGCGGAGGAGGGGCTGCTCTCTGGGGAATTACACCGCAGCCCCCAGCCCCCGCTGAATCCAGCCTCTGCCGAGCACCAGCTATGTGGCCTGAGGCAAACCACTAGGTCCCTCGGACTGTTGATTTCTTCAGCTGTAAAATGGACACATTATAATGACCCCGCAAAGCTGTTTTGATAATTAGGTTGGAGAGTGTAGCTCCACAGAAGAGACATAGGAAGTGCTTACTAAGTACTTGCCACATTGGCTACTAGTATTAACCAGAACTGGGCGTGGAGGGGAAGGGGCTTGGTGAAGGTGGTGGGGGAGGCAGGGTGTAGGAACTGCTGATGCAGGGATGGGAGCGGGCCTGCTCTCCTGCCCGACAGTCTGGGGGTGCTCTACGCTGTATCCATTCATTTCACCACCCAGGGGTGCCCCTGGGCTGGAACCCCAGCTCAGCCACTCTCCTGGGCTCTGGCTTTGCCGCATCCCCTCCCCTGGCAGCGCCTGGCCCCGGGGGAGGGGGTGACAGACACAGGACACCAGCGGAGTGCGGCGGACACGGTTTATTTCGCTGCTGCGGGAGTCAGGGCGGGGCCCGCCTCTTCCCCGGGCTCCCCGTCCCAGCCGCCGCCCGGAGGCCTGGCGTCCCCGGGGCAGGGGCAGCCGTCAGGGCCCGGGGACACGGGCCGGACGCGGCGGCGGGCGCGGCGGGAGCGCGGGGGGCGGCGCGCCCCGGGCCACAGGCGGCGGAGGCGCGCGCGGAAGTGGCGGGAGGCGAGCGCGTAGACCAGCGGGTTGAGGCAGGAGTTGGCGTAGGCCAGGCAGTGCGAGGCCAGGCGGCAGGCGTAGGTGGCCGGGCTGAAGGCGAAGCGGCCGAACCAGAAGCACAGGATGAGCGCGTGGTGCGGGCCCCAGCACAGCGCGAACAGCGCCGCCACCGCCAGCATGGCGCGCCCCGCGCGGCCCGCCGCCCTGCGCCGCGCCCCCGCCGCCGCCGCCGCGCCTGCCGGGCCCACGGCCGCCCGCAGGCAGCGTAGTGCGCGCGCGTACGCCAGGCTCACCACGGCCACGGGCAGCAGGTAGCCGGCCGCGAAGGTGGCCACGTCCAGGGCGCGGCGGCGCGCGTCCTCCCAGGCGGGCACGCAGAGCTCGCCGGCGCCGTAGCGCACCGTGCCGTAGTAGCTGAGGTAGGGCGCCGCCAGCAGCGCCGCCAGCAGCCACACCAGCCCCACCGCGGCGCGCGCGTGGCGCGGGGTGCGCAGGGCCCGCGAGCGCAGCGGGTGCCGCACGGCCAGGTACCTGCGGGGGACGGGGGGCGCCGGTCAGCCGCATCCGCGCCCCCTCCCGCGCCCCCACCGAGGAAATGGAGCCTGGGGGTTGGTGGAGCAGGGGGTCGGGGGTCACCACTCCACCTGCCTCCTGGGTGGTAGTGATTAAGGGGGTTCACGGGCCAAGCGCTTAGAGAAGTGCCGGGAAGTGCAGAGTAAAATGACTTGGCCAAGGTCATCGGCTAGAAAGTGAGCCTGGATTTGACCCCAAGTTTCAAGCCATGAAGGCAGCTATGAATGATGTCAACCGGGCCAGGCATGGGTGGTAATACACCCATGAGTTCGTTCATGTATTCTTTTCCCCATTCATTTCAGTCATAGGGCCCCTAGCATGTGCCAGACCTGGTGAGGGCGCTTGAGACCACACAGAGACCTTTAGGGGAAGCTCCTAACGGAGCTGGGGAGGGCAGGATGGTCCCTGCAAGCCCGCCCTGCAGGTGCCCAGAGGCTGGAAGGTGGGGGCCAGAGCTGCTCCTTTCTTCTCTCCCATCTCCCTTTTGGGTCCCCGGTTCTCTCTGTCCTGAGGCCAGTGAGCGCTGGTCAGGTCTTCCCGCCCCAGCCCAACCCGGTCCCAGGCACACCTGTCCACGGAGACGGCGGCCAGCGTGAAGCTGCTGGCATACATGGTGAGGTAGATGAGCAGGTGCACAGCCTTGCAGACGAGGGCCCCAAAGTGCCAGGCGTCCAGCGTGTAGATGGCGGCCTGGAAAGGCACGCAGCACAGGATGAAGCAGAGGTCGGCCACGGCCAGGTTGAGGATGAACAGGTCCGTAGTGCTGCCCTGCTCCTGCCACACACCGGGGCCGGGCTGCAGCAGCACGGCCAGCACCAGCCCGTTGCCCACCGTGCCCAGCAGGAAGATGAGGGCAAAGACCACGGGCACTGCCACAGCCCCCACGCTCCCTGGGCTGTCTAGCGAACTGTTCTGGGCATCAGCCATCTCTCCAGCAGATGACCACCTGGGGAGAGAAGCTGGACTTCTCAGGCAGGGCTCCCAGCCCTGGTCACCCAACCTGGGGAGGTGATGGACACCTCCAACCAATGGTGCGGGTAAAGACACAGGCAGCCGAAACGGGTTTGGCTCAGTGGTAGAGCGTTGGTCTGCGGACTGAAAGGTCCCAGGTTTGATTCCGGTCAGGGGCATGTACGTTGGTTGCGGGCACATCCCCGGTGGGGGGTGTGCAAGAGGCAGCTGGTCGATGTTTCTCTCTCATCGACGTTTCTAGCTCTCTCTCTCTCTCTCTCTCTCTCTCTCTCTCTCTCTCTCTCCCTTCCTCTCTGTAAAAAAAAATCAATTAAAAAAAAAAACACAGGCAGAGAGGGGGGGACATGGAGGGTGAGTAGAGGGGCACCCCATCCTCGGGAGCAGGTCTATTTCCTTCTCAGCGGGGCATCTGAAGCTCAGGGGAGACTCTTGGACATGGGTCAAGGTCAGCAAAACCTGGGTGACATCCCTGCACATTGGAGAATCCAGTTTGGTGAGAGCCCCACACTAGCACAGCTGGGAACCCCATATATAGGTCCTGCGCCACCCCCCCCCCCACACACACACACATGAGGAAGTCTAGGCTCAGAGCGGGCACACGGGAAGCTGAGGATCACACTCTGAGCGGCAGATGTGGGGCTGCTGCCATCCTGATACTGACTCCCGGGCTGGAGCGCTCCTGAGAGCCTGTCTGTAACCGGCGCCCCTGAGAAAACCTGTGTGTGTGCATGTGCACGTGCGTTTGTGCAAGCTGTGTCCTCTCTCACCCTACCCCACCCCACATCGGCTCCTACCTGCGGATTCCCCCTGAAGCCTGGGTCCCCTAGGTGGGTGGGACAAATTTAGGGCAAGGGGGACAGGCGGGGAGAGGTAAGAAAATAGATGCGTCTCCTCCTTTCCCCGTCCTCCCCCCCAGCATGCACCAGACCCTCCCAGTGCAGGATGGGCAACTCCTACCTGGGTCCTGGGCACTAGGCTCCCGCTGGATCCTGGGTGAACCCGTCAGGCTGGGGCTGCTCCTGGCTCCGTGGCCACCACTTTGGTGCCTCCCTCGGATGGAGAGCTGCCTCTCACGTCTCCCTCTTCTCCTTTAAGCCCCTCCTCTGCTGAGCGGGACTTGGGCTGTCCCTCCCGAGTGCCCAGTGGCCACCCCCTCTTCAGCCCCTGACTTCCCCCAGGTGCATGCTCTTCTGCCAGGCTCTCCTCTGCCTCTGCTTTGCTTCCTTTGGGCAGTGAGTAACCCATTGATCTTGCTGAGAATTGCTTTGTAGTTAACCCCTCTGTGCCCAGGGCCCTGCCTGAGGATTCCACTCCCCATCCTCCCCTCTCCCTGCTCCAACCCAAGTTCAGAAAGGATTCCTAATCTTGAATGGGGTGTCGTAGGCTGGGAAGCAGAATGAGTGCCTTTTCTGCATTCTTCAGGTGGGACGCCTCCCTCAGACCCTGAGAACCTGGAGACCGATCAGCGTGGTCCAGGGTTTGAGTCTGGCTGGAGACTGGAGTTTGTGTACCAGCCTGAGGAGTCTGGCTTTAGCCAGAGGGCCGTGGGGACCTAGGAAGAAGTTCCAGAGCAGGGATATAACCTGCCACTTTTGTAGTTAATCACGGCTGCGATGAAAAGGATGCACAGATTGGGAGTGACCTAACAAGTGACCTGTTAGAGGGCTTTTTTTTACATTTTATTGATTTTTTTTACAGAGAGGAAAGGGGGGGAATAGAGTTAGAAACATCGATTCAGCTGCCTCTTGCACACCCCCTTCTGAAAATGTGTCCGCAACCAACGTACATGCCCTTGACCGGAATCGAACCTGGGACCCTTCAGTCCCCAGGCTGACGCTCTATCCACTGAGCCAAACCAATCAGGGCTGTTAGAGGCCTCTTCACATGCAACAGCCAAACAGGTTAAAGGTCTCGGAGAATGGCTGGCTTAGTCAAGGGGTTCTGGCCTGACCTCTCAGAGGAGTGGACCACGTGGCCAAAAGGATACAGGCCGGCACCTAGGGGTGCGGTGCCAATCGCAGGGAGTGAAGAGGTGGTAGGGCCTGCATGGTCTTTCCAGAAGCTGGGAGGGTGGAACGAACGTCCAGGGGGAAGTCTGGGAGTGATAGTATGAGGGGTGCTGACCAAGCCTTGCATCAAGGCCAGAGGAGCGAGGCCCCGGGGTCCTGCGAGCGCTCAGCAGTGCTGTTCTAAAGCCTGTGGCTCTCACCCAGGTGCAGAGCATCCTCGGTTGTTTGGAAGCAGAGACCCCTAAACTGAAGATATTAGGACTCAGACCTAGACTCCAAATCTGAATTCAGAGCTAGCAGGCTGAATTAAGGCATTGCCATGGGATCTTATGATCACCAAAAGGCAGGCTGTAGGATCCTAGACTCAGAGTGCTAGGTTTTAGAATCACAATCACCCTTTATGAATTGAATGCGCCAATCGACTCCCAGAAGCCCGGGCTCACTAATGTGGCATGCCTGCCCCTGGGGAGCCCCAAGATCCCTGACATACTGTCCTACCTCTTCTTGGGGGCCCCCAACCCACAAGGCCACTCCTTACCCTTAGCTGGGCTCTGGCAAACGAGGGCACTCCCAGCAGCGGTGAAGCTGAGCAGCTTTGATGGTAGACGCAGAGGGAGGATGGAGGGGACTACGGAAAGCCTGGCCTCAGGTAGGCAAGAAGGCATGTCCTCATGCCCAGCACCAGCGTGTCTCTAGCACCCTCCTCCCTCCGCTCCGACTTCTGTTCCCGGCGGCCACAGCTTGAACCCCGTGCCCACTGCAGAGGATGTGGGTTGTGTGCCCAGGGAGCGGTCCTCTGAGCCCCCAGCCCTGCAGTGAGAAGTGCCGCTGACCCATAAGCCTCTTGCGAGTGTCCAGTATGTGCCAAGCCCAACTGCATGCAACCAGAGCTGCTGCTCCTCAGAGTGCTTCCCATGGCCCCTTCCGGACGGCTGTGGACCAGGCCACCACATACTGGCCAGCTGCATGGTGCACGGTGTGCTAGTGGCCAAGCCCAGGATGTCCCAGCTGCTTGTGTTGTCCATTGGGGGAAGCTAGCCAACAGCTAGTAGGCCTGAGCCGGGCGCTCTGGCTCTGCTGGGTAGGGCGCACCCACGGTGACAATGATTGTGGCTGTCAGGTATGTATCGTGCCACCAGCAAAGACTTTACATATCAAGCTACAGGCTCTGCACCCTTGCTGCTGTAGCAGTGCATGTGGCACCAGGTGCCTTCCCCTGGTGGTAGCAGCATTCAAGGGTTCTTGCTGATGTGGCCACAGCAGCCCCTCCCCCTGGCTGCATCCCCAGCACCCTGGGCTCTTCCAGATCACAGGTCAGGACTTCCAGAACCCCAGTGTTAAGATCCTGCAGGGTAGGGCTGGAGCTCAACCAGACAGGCCACCCCATGATTTCCAAGGAAAGGGGAGGCTGGGATGCAGGGCATCACAGACCTTGTCCTAGTTCCCTGTTAATAAGGCCTTATCAGCCTTCCTGCTCTACCAGCAAACTGCGCAAGAGCTTCCCAAGGCTGATCACCGAGAGCCAGCCCCCGCCCGCACAGTGCCCATAAGGCTGAGTGGGGAGGGCGAGGGGAGAAGACTGTGTGTGTGTGTTAGTGTGTGTGTGTGTGTGTGTGTGTTGTGGGGATGGGGGTAACATCTCCAAAAGGGACGCAGTGAGGCGTGGTGGACAAAGGTGGATGGGGCCTTCACAGCAGCCAATCACCTCCTGGCCTTGCCCGCAAAGCAGCCCGGAGTCCAAGGCCTGGAGTCTGGAGAGGCGGGGCCATAGCGGCCGGAGCCTTAGCTCGCGGCGCCCCCTGGCGGCTGATCCTCAGGCCATTAGGCCTTGAGATGAGGGAGCAAGAAGGACGGCATTAACATAAACCCAGGCTTCATGCTGGCAGGGGTGTGTGGGGGTGGGGCACACACAGAGAATGGGGCCTAGAGTGGCTGGAACACAGGGTTTCAGGCACAGGGGCCTCTCCAGGAGTGACCCACATTCTTTCCTTTGGGGCTTGAATCCTCAGCCTCTCGCACAAACATGGGATGGGGTCCATCCTTCTATTCTGGCAGCTGTAAGTGGTCCTTCGGATGGGAGGAGCACAGGGTGCACCAAGGCTAGACTCCGGAGGCTGCAGAGCAGGGGCGGCCCCTGCTGTATTAGCCCAGCCGCCTGGGTCTTCTCTTAATGTGGGGAGGTGTTCAGCTCTGAGGCCTGCTTTCAGGAGCCTGCCCAGAGCAGCCTGCTTCCTCGCTGCCCAGAGAGAATAAAGCAGACCAGCGCGTCACAGCCAATTTCCACGTTTGTTTCACACTCAGGGCCACAAGCACAAGCCTTGCCCCAGGACGCGGACAGGGCTCAGAGCCTCTGGCCTGGGCTGATGGCCAAAGGCCCTGTCGCTGTGGAGGGCGGCTCAGGGCAATGCCCCGTGCCGCCGCCCCACCTCCACGAAGGCCTCCACGCAGCGGTCGATGTCCTCCTCGCTGTGCACTGCCGAGATCTGCACCCGGATCCGGGCCTTCCCCTTGGGGACCACTGGGTAGCTGAACCCGATGACGAAGATGCCTGGGAAGGTGGAGAGAGCAACCTGGGACTCACTGGAGCCTGCAGGCTTTGGGGCATGACACACAGCTCCTACTTCCGAAGGATCGCAGAGAGCAAGGGGGCAGCCCATGGTGGCTGGGGTTTCCACATTTGGACAGCTGGTCAAAAAGGGGAGTAGGGTGGGGACAAAGGGAAATATCACAGTCTAAGGGTTCGCTCCTCCCTCTTTTCTCTCAGGACCCACAGCCAGTCCTTTTGTCTGGTCTCCTCACCTTTCTTTAGCATGTCGTCCGCCATGCCAGAGGCCAGCCGGGCATCACCCAGCATCACCGGGCAGATGGGGTGATTGACTCCCGAGATGGTGAAGCCAGCAGCCTTCATCTTACTGCGGAACCTGTGGGCACAAGCGGGGTGTCACA